ATACATATATACATATATACATATATACATATACATATATATATATATATATATATATATATATATATATATATATATATATATATATATATACATACATATATACATATACATATATATAAATTAAGAACAAACCCTTAAAAAGTAATCAGATATTTATCAGCATATAATCACAGCTGGTTTTGTCAAGATCAGGACTATTCCCAACAAATTCTGAAACCCAATCCCTGCAGCAGAATTCAAACAAACGGGCAAAAAGCTAAGGAGCTGAATAAGAAAGAAGCTGTACGAAGCTATTAGAGGAACCACAATCCATGAAAAAACAAAAGGCCCAGGCTATAAATAATATATGACCTGGAAAAATCATTTTCTCAACACTGAGGTTAAAAATCCATGAAATGACAATGTTAGACCTTTATGTAAAATGAAGACTTGCGTGTCCTTTTTACATTTCCTGGTTTGATTATGCCTAACAGCATGTCTTTATTCCATGAACTCTGTGAGAAAATGAGACATGAGTAATCTCTTCAGTAAAGGCTAGCTATTTACAATAAATCTGATGTATGGAAAAAGTAGAACTGATAACTATAAGAATAATAACAGTTCTTAAGGGGGGAAAACAAAATATTCCTGCTCTGTAACTCGGATCTGATCGACACCCTGCAGCACAAAATCCAATCCTCTTTAAGAGAAATCTAACATTTTTAAATCAGCAAACCAGGAATTAAATCAAACTCCAATACTGAAAACCTCCCCAGGACTGAGGCGAAACTGAAAGGATTATTTCCCAACACCTTTGAAAGCGCATAAACTCTTCTGCCTGCTTTTCTCTCCCTCTCCTGAGGGTGTGTGCATAGTGTTCTGGCATCCCTGTTATGAGTGGCTTATAAGGCTCAGTAGATAGAAGTGCTTGGATTGACAAAGTCAATTCTGTTGACATCTTTTCAGTATGGAAGTATAACTAAACAAAGGCAGAAAGATTATGAATCTCTTGCAGTCAAAGTGTAATTTAAAGCTACATTTTAATACTCATTAAGTACAGCCAATCAAAACAAGAAAGAACAAATTATATATAACCGATACCACCAAAAGTGTCATATTCAACTATTGTTTTCAGTATGAAATGAGTTGGGAAACCAGTAAAACATTAGAAAAACTTGAAGTATGTATTCTATACACAGACTGTCTGGGCCTAAATTCAAGGGAAGGGGCGGAGAGAGGAGGAGAGACACCCTGTTTCAGTTAATATTTTTATTTTATAGATGTAACAAAATGGGACATTAAAAAAATCATGACTGTTAGAGCCTTTGATGAGTTTTAGTTTGTAATACATGGCTGATAAATGTGGAATAAACTGATGAAGGGCTGTTTTATTTCTATGCACATATATTAGCAGCTTATTAACACTGCTTGAATACACCTATCCAATGCTATGCAATGGAATATACACATTGCTTTAAGCTGACCCCTCCTCTCAAGGCCCCCGGTCCCAAACCAAGAGTGCGCAGACACACATCCAGAACAAAAAAACAACAACAAAACAGACATGCTAGGTTGGGTTTGGCCACAGGTCTAGTCTAGCAGGGAAGGCTCTGCAGGACGAATAATGGTGGGCCGGTTAGATGGAGCACCAGGGGGTCTTCGACTGCAAAGAGGAGAGAAGATACAGAAAAGGTGTGAGACGTGCCCACAAAGAACCACAGATGAAACCAAACATCCCAAAGAGAAAAGAGAGCAGAGGTAGAGATGGAGAGGAGGAGAAAACCGATGATAAGAAAAAAAGAATAAGTTAAAAAAATGTTTAAGACTGGTAGGAATGAGGGAAAGGGGATAATACTGGATGGCTCCATCTTTATGATTATATATTGACCCTTAAATGTGAAAAAAAAAAAATCATTGGTTATTTTGCTTTAAACTAAATTCGTACCTGGGTACGCCGGGTGGGATACGGGCTGGCCGGGAGGGGATCTGTGGTGGAGCGCTGAACGGATCCTGACTGCTGTTGAAAGCATTAGCGGGTGGAGCTGGGCGAGAGGGGATGGGGGGGGCACCAAATGCTGGGGAGGTGCTAAAGGCAGGGGAAGGGTTTATAGGTGGTGGAGGTCCTGGAGTTGGGCCCCGGACAGCAGGTGGACGGCTGGGGGGCTGGGACGCTGCAGGGGTCGGTCTTCGCTGAGGAGTTGGGCTACAACAGATATTTAAAATCATTCGCTGATGCCTAAAATAAAATCAACATTTCATTTTAACATTTAAAGGAAAACTAAACTCCCTCCCTACCTGGAATCCTGGAGCCAATTATCGTTTACAGGTGGAGGAACTGGCGTGGAGATGGTGTTGGTGGTGATGTCGCCTATGATGTGCAGTGCTTCCTTCAGCGCATGATACATGCGCAGCATTTCGTCCCTGCGCTGGGCCTGGTCAGCAGACTCCTCCATGAGGCTGTTCTGGTCCCCGGAGGAGTAAAGATAAGCCAGCAGCTCCGAGTGGATAAAATCTTTAGCCTGGAAGGGATCAAATTCAGTCACAATGACAAAAACTACATATAGTGAAGCAGTAGTAGCCAAAACAGATGCATTTATTTTATCAGCTGAAAGAATTAAGGATATAAAGCAGTAATAATAATTTTAAAAAGACACAGTACATAATGTGTAATCTCACTGGAATAGAAAACATTAATGAATGTCTTACAGGTGCTATTAGCATTTTATTTTTTAGCAGTAACATTTATTAAGTGTCAGAATAAACAACAAAACCTTCTATCTTAAGAAAAGCTAATAATTGAAATCTCTTCTTTATGCTAGCTTTTAGTTTGATGTTATTCCTGATATAAAAGAGAAGTATTTGCTCCTATTGATCTAGGAAGGATGGATATATCCAGCCTGATGTCAACATTGGGTTACGAACATCAGAGTGTGGCATAACATTTTTCAACTTCAACTTTTCTTTATGCTTTAAATAAGAAAGACTAATGACTTCACACAGGTTGTATTGAGTCCATTTAAAGGACAAAATCCAAACCCAAGGTAAATGTTCTTGGCCTGCAGGTGCTAAAGCCTCCACTCACGTTGTTGATCATGAGATGCATGATGGTTTTGGGCACAAGATCTCTGATTGATTTGTTGATGATGCCGATGTACGAGTCCACCAGGTTACGAATGGTCTCCACCTGCCGCTCCAACTGGGGATCCATTGAGAAGGTGTCTGCAGGTGCGGCCTCTTCATTCTCCACCTTCCACAAAAACATCACATCATACCAGAACCAAGAGGTTCACATTGTTCCAAGCTTTATTAAGGCACTATAAATGGAGGCAAACCACCTTAAAAAAACAGATTCTTTTATTTTGGTTTATTTCGGCTTATTTGTTTTATGCATTTATAGCCAACAGAATCTGAGCATAATGTGTAAAAAAAAATAAAAATAAATAAATAAAAAGAAGAAATTTGCCTATTTACCAACTCAGAAGACAAATCCTGCAAAATCAATTTGTCATACCTGGTCTTTCTCAGGATAAACTCCTGCCCTGAGGAAGGAAGCTTTCCAGCTGTCTACATCTTCTTGAGAATCACAGGCCAGATCTATCTGTCGTAGATCTTTGTAGACGTTCCTGTTAAGATAATCGACAAAATTCTGATTTACTGAGACCTTGAAGCAACATATAACTGAACAAAACCCAACAAAATAAAATCAAAGTGCATCAGCTGGAGTTTACTGGAGAACACTGACCTCTGTTCAGTGTTAAAGATGGCAAAGATGTGCTTTGTGGACATAAAGCCTTTCTCCACATCTCTGATCTTCAGGTTGTCTAAAGGCAACATGTACTTCTTCTCTTTTTCCTTAAATAAATCACATAAAACTTCATTAAAGATGCTATAAAACATAAAACATTTTAATCCATACATAATAACTACTTATATATGCTTAATGTTCTTAATCTATAAGATAATTGGATAAAAAATAAATGTATTAATCTCTTTCTCTTTTTAAACCTTTTATTTAATTTTTTTTCTTTTTAAGAATAAATTAGCAGAAGAAATATCTAAATAAAGTCTCTTAATGCTTAAAATGTTTTCATTCAATACATTTTGGATTTTCAAAAACAAAGCACAGACACGTGAGGAGATCAGTATTTGGACAAACCGTTCTGTCAGTCAGAGGGGGTCACTACTGGAACAGCCTCCCAACAAACATCAGGGAATGTCCCACTTATTGCACATTTAAAAGTTTCTTAAAAGTTCCCAGTCATGCACTTACTAATTTTATTGTTGTAATGTCATTGTCTCAACGTGTGTCTATGTGTTTTGACTGATATTGTATTATGTGATCTTGTGTTGTTTTGTCTTCCTGCCTCAGGACGACAGATGTAAATTAGCAACTATGCTATAATCTGGCTCATTTACAATCTGTACAGAAGTATAAGATTGTTCATTAATGTGCTCTGTCCTGATAAAATAAATAAAATTTAAATGTGGACGCTCACTTTTTCTAAAGGGAAAAAATTAAGCATTTCCTCAGTAATGACCACCCCCAGACTTGTGAGATGGGGAAATCGTAATCAAGATGATGAGGAGGAAGAAAAGTAGGAGTTTCTAGAGGGACTGGTTGGGGTGCTGAATAGAGACATCTGGAAGCATTTACATCTGCACTTACAGAGTGGCACAGGACTAAAAGTTACATCACTCAAAGATCTGCACAATTCCACTCCTTGATCCCACATCCACCCACACACACACACACACACACACACAAACACACACAAACACACACAGAGCAGAGTAAATCCTCAGCTTCATGATGGAACCAAACTCACATGTGGAGGAAAGAACAGGACAAAGAGAAAACTAAGTGTGGTCATAAAGACACTTGTACAGATGAGGTCAACTTCCCAAACAGCCGGCGGGAGTCGTGCAGGCCAGCGCCTACACACTTGTACACACAATCGCCCCCTCCCCTCCAGCCCCCGTAACCCAGTACGATTTCCTGCAAATTCCAAAGTCAGATCCCGGCTGGAACATTTCAGCTTGACTGCCACGTCAGTTTGCCTACACTTTTCCTACCCCTCTTATTCTCTTAGCTTTTTCAGAAAAGGCAGCGAAAGTGAGAGAAAACCAACACCGAGAGAATGCGGTTTTTCTTTTCTAATTTGCATCAGACTTTTTTAGGTTTCTTTTCTTAATCGAAAAAAGAACAACAACAGAGGCCTGAGAGAGAGAGACCGAGTGGTGAGTAACAATCCCAAACTATTCATTTTGATCAGAAAATCATTTGAGACAAATACTTTACAAATTACCTGTCTAATATTTCAGTTCCTTTATCTGTAAACGCTCTAAAATTAGCATTTTTTAACCGAAGAAACTGTTTTTACTGAGTCAGATTAAATCAATATCATGTAAATATTTTTATTTGTTTGCTTTTCACTCTAATTTATAACAATACATAACTGCCACGTACTCTGCTTTTTTATATTTACAACTTCTGGGTAATATTTAAACTGTGTCCTCTGTCCTACAGACGCAATGACCTCTGGGTCCTTCCTCCCACCCCCCCACCCAGCCTGCCCAGTGTTCAGACTACCTGTTCCTAGAGCTACAGCTGAACAGTAGTCTGCACATTGGTTAGGCTAGGCTGGGATGCACACAGCTCCTCACCTCTGATGGCGACGGCACCAAATCCTCATTAGGGATAAATTACACAAAAGCATGCTGGAGTAATTTCACGCTTTTCTGGTGTTGAACTGAGTTATACCCATTTATGTCACATTAAATAAGTCAATGGAGAACAGAGTCCTCTCACCTCCTCGTCTTTGTACCAGGACAGAGACTCGGCTGTCAGCACGAACCAGTATTCCTTGGAGCCTCCCTTCATGATGCTGATGTGGAGGGTTAGCCAGCCTTTCCTGATTACCTACACAGTGAGGGAAACGTGTGGAGGACACCAGGAGCACGGGGAGGTTGGGAATTTTAGGAAGTTGGAAGAAAGCAACAGAAACAGTCAAGCTTTTTCACTGTTAAAATTAGGACAAAAAAAAAAAAAAAAGAATTATTTGATTCAAGGATTTGACAAACACTGGAAAAATGAAGTCACTTACCTGTGCGGTTAAAGACTACTTTTGCTAACATTTTAGATCTAAATGTTAAATGTTTGGAATTTGTGATTTTAGTGGTATTCAAGACCTAACATGACATAAACCACAAAAAGGAAAGAGTGATCAAAGGATAGCAACACGTGCATCTTGGAATGGACAGCTAAATTCAAAGAAAATCCAGAATGGAACTACTGAAATGAAATAAAGGGAAATGCCCTGATTTATTCAACAGAAAATTAATCATTTCATCAGGAAAGCAAAAATGCTCTCTGGGGCATTCTCGCTCCAATTTAGGGACAAAAAACAAAAGGTCGACGGCGGCGTCAAAAGGTTAGTCAGAGAAGATATACATGAGGTGCTTGATTTCATAAGAAAGAGCTACACAGGTTAATGAACAAGCATTCAGTGTGAACAGGTTATTTAAGCCGACAACGGTTAGTTTAGATTGCAGAGAACAAATGTAAACAAATTACATTCTAGGCAGCAGAAAAGACCGAGTGAGAGAACGACTACTGATAAGACGTTAGTTAGGAAAGAAATTAGACATTTCTCTGCAGAAGACCATGTAATAGAACTTTATACTTTTCTACATTCCCTCCTGTCCAATTTAACTACAATATCAAAAAGTCAGTGTTAAAACAAGGAGCTTATATGTTAGATACGTTATAAACTCTTCCTCATGCTTTTAGTAAACAGTCCCTGTTCATGGAGGAAAGAACATGAGTGGGAGACGGTTGGAGGGAAAACCCTTTCACTAAGCTTCAAAGGGCCGATGTCGATATGGGAGAGGAGGAAAGAGAGTTCTACGAATCACCATTTCCTTTGTTATTTTACAGTCATCTGGTTTATGACATGAGAGGGAGTCACAGATGCTGTTTCCCTTTCCATATTATTTAGACAAAATGTTCTGCATTAATATGGGTTAGTTGAAGCTGACAGACGACATCTGAGATCAACAACAAAAATATCATATAGAACACATATATGCCGGATATAAAAGGTCTATTATTCCCTGTTAAAATGCCACGTTTATGAAATGTGAAAAAAAATTGTAAAAACAATTTTAGTCTTTTTTCACTTTTATTTTTATCTATGATTTGAAAAATTAAATACAAGAAATGTACATCATTTGTTGAAGGTTGCAATGTTGCTGTATAAGGAAGAAGAGCTTCATAACTGGGCCCAAAACTAAACTGGGGTCAAGCAGGAGCCAGTGCCCACCGGCTATCATTTCATCACCATCAATTGCTTTATCTGAAAATTGCATAGTTGGCTCAATCAGTAAAACCCAGGGTCTGCTGAGAGCTTACAAATGTTAACATAAGGTATCAGTCAGGATACGTGCAAAAAAGATAGTGATCAGCCATGAGATAAAAGTTGTAACTTTATAAGAAAAAAATACAAACCCACATAAATTCTACAAAAAACTAAGTTTCCTTAAAGCAGGTGGGATGATGAGTTACCGTTCAAAAAAAATAAAATCAGTGTTTAACCTTTTCCTCATAATCCAAATAAGTGAAAGAATTTAGTGCAAAGACACCACTGCACATCACCAAACCCATAGTCGGGCAAGGTGGTGGCAGCGTCATGCTCTGAGTCCTTTTTTTTTTTTTTTTTTGCCCCTTTCACTGCAATTGTTGCCTTAGCTGTGGTTATGAACACTTCCAAACAGTGTGAAGTAAGTAGAAAACTTTCAGGCTTTGGGTGAAAGTAACTTCATTAGAGAATGAATTTTCAAAAAAATGTGTTAGTTACTGGCAGCTACTTTCTTCTTGGAGAGCTGTTTTTATCAGAATCAAAATAAATCTGATGAGAAACCCGTGGGGTAATAAGAACATGATACGAGATGATCTGATAAACCAGGAAGATTTTAGCAAGGTGATCGGAAAGTTAAGAAGCGCTGTGCTTATAAACTAAATCAGCATAAGCTAATCTGTGTAGGTGTGTGTTTTTATAAGTCATCAACATAATAAAATTTTTGTTTGTTTCATTGAGTCTAAATAGAAATATGGTTCATCGCAGGTGGAAACGGTTCTGAAAAGATTTGTTACTCTAATCTTTTTCCATTACAAAAACGTGGCATTTTAACAGGGCTGTGTGGACTCTTTATATCCAGTCTGAACAAAAACGAAGCTTGCCTTGATAAGACTTCAGGAAATAAAACAATGAAAGTTAACAACGATTTATCTGTTCAGTCATTAGCATACAGCCCAAAGCCGTGACCAGTCACCAGATTCAATAAAGGGAATCAGTGCATAAGATAAGAGATTATAATCACACAATTTTGTTAGATAAACATTATTTTAGAAATTTTAAAAGAAAACCAATCAAAAGACTTGTTTTTCAAATCAAAGAATACACTTTTAGGTATGCTGCTGATTTGATTGGTCCCGCTCCTCCCGTTATTCCCCAGAGGCCTTCAGGACGGTTCTCACAAGGCAAACATTTGGATCACCATGCATGAGGCAGCAGCAGAGGTAAAAACCCAGTGGCAGAGGAACTGACACCTCCACAATTACAGGTGGTAGGCTTCTTCATCATCTCTCTCGTGTCGCAGGAATGTACTGTGCCACCATGTTCTGATGGCACAATAAATTAAATCATTTTTTAAATGTGCACAATAAAAACTATGTTAGTAGAATTACTGGCAATTACTGCCTCCTTTGATAAAGATTATAAGTTTAAAAAGTCAAGTCAAGTGTTAGTGACAGCCCAAATTACTGGCAACTGTACACCGATGTTGTAATTACAATTAATGACACTGTTGTAATCCTGAAGACTCTACCTTTTCTTCCTTGACCTCTCCTAGCCCGACAAGCTGCAGAGGGGGGGAAGACATTTTATTAAAGTGAAGGTATTGCCTTTATTTGACACAGGAGCTAACATTCACCCGCGGATCTCCGAGGAGTTTATGTTCAACACTAACTGAACTGGCTGACCTTTACGGATACGGCCTCAGTTCTTCTGCATGGCCTACCCCTGCTGCCCCCGGCAGGGTGTGGTTTAATGTGAGGTACTTACCAGAATCTCACCCTGCAGTAACAGGAAGGGAAGTGGGGTTAAAGCCAAGGGGTAGTTTTAATATAAACAAAAATCAAAGCAAAAGAGAAAACAATAATAGCCAAGATGGAGGACAGTTTGAGTTGTGTAGAAGAATGGTGGAATAAATAGGAAGAAGTAAAATGAACAAACAGGAAGAGTAAAAGAGAGAAGGAAAGGTAGTTTAAGGGAGCAATAAAGGAGAAAACAGGGAATCCGAGAAGCAGAGAGAAAACAGATGAAAACACAGAGAGAGAGGGGGGGGGGGGGGGGGGGGGGGGGCAAAGTATTACATGCAATTAAAATTACTTCAAGGTATATCACAATTCGGTTATGTCACATTTATTGCTCAGATGATTGTTGTGATATCCATGCACATCTTCAAATTCTAATCAGCACCAAGATGCTTGGGAGTTAATAGAAAGGCAAAACAATCAACATAATTCAGTTATTCATTATTGATGTGCCAATACAACATGCACAGATAACATGCAGGAAACAAATGGCAGTCCTGAAGAGATGAGCTCTTGCCAAAAAGCAGGGAATGGGGTCTTCCTTATAATCATTAACACAGCTCTCCCTTTAAACAATCATTGTCAAAAGGGCTGCATTCAAACAACAAATTCACCATATATACAGTATGAGAAATAGCATTTTTAGAACGCTAAATAGATAAACATTAGACCTACAAAAGAAGGATGTCACCAGAGGAAGACATAAGATTACTGGCTGAGGATTGATAATTTGATTAATAGGCTCATCTGAGACAGACTATTGAACCTGGATGGATGAGGAGATGATAGAACATACCTGGTTGGGTACTGCTCTCTTCTTGTTCGTAGCAATGTTCCTCTGCTGAGCACTGTGTACAAAAAGAAAGGCAGCAGATAAATACCAAAGAACTTGGCAGAAACATTTTTACAGTATTTTTAATGCGTTGATCACTTCCTATTGATTTTATTCCTCTGATTTTCAGTTTTATAAAAGGAATCAGGTCAGATTTAAAATGTGTCAACTAAATCCATCACCACAAAAACTCAAAGTTAAAGAGATTTAAGAGAAAAGGTTTAAATGCTGGGGCACTCTTTAAATTACAACATCATTGAAAAGTTCACTTATTTCAATTGTTGACCTCTGATAAAGTGAAATAATTCTAGCATTTACTCTCTTATTTCTGATGATTATGGCTCACAGTGGTTGTGTTTCATAGAGAAGGCCAGACAGTAGACGGTAACCAAGTCACAAAAAGCTGTTGCTAAAGTAGCAACATATATACTGAAAGTTGAGTGGAAGGAATAAGTTCGGCAAGAAAGGATCTGCAAACAAATGCAGCCTTAGGATGCTAATTATGAAAAATGCAAATCATCACAATTGCACTATTTCTATCAAATAAGTAAAACAACCAGAAGTGCATGTGAATACGTTTGTTCATGCAATAAAAAGAACTTGGCAGTGACAGCTACATGATACATCGGTGTTTCTGCCACAGCACTAGAGGGCGCCAACATCCTCCAACTACGTCTGCTCTTCTTTGTCTTTTTACTAGTCGGTAAGATTATTTCTAGATCACGTGACCGGATTCATGTCGAAAAAAAGAGTTTTTTATAAATTGCAGTGTTTCCATTTAGCAAATTTATTGTCGTAGTTACAATTTGCACAACTTGATGGTTAATAGAAACTAGCGCTAGTGAGGACACTAGGGTTATGATCCCCCGTGATGCATCAGCCAAATCTTCAACCATGGGCTTTTATAGCTTGTTTTGGAGATGCTGATTTCCTTTGCTTCTGTTGACACAGCTAAAAGTACAGATAATTGATGACCACGTTATCACTGAGAAAACTGGACTGACCATAACCCACCAAGAATTGCTAATAATAAGATGTATACCTTTCACCAAACCCACCATTTCTGTTTTCTAAGTTATTATGAAGGA